ATTTCATTGCTGGTTCCTTAGCTGTGGCAGTGAGCATGTTTAAATCACAGATCTTCTGGGATAGAAGTGTGAGGGATATATAAGCCGATAGAACCCTTATTTTTTTTTTTTTTTTTTGTGGGAGCTAGTTAACTAGCACCATGTCTTTATAAGCAAAAATACATCTAAACGTATTCTTCATTTTCATTTGAAGTATTATCTTGTCTCATTGTTTTCATTTCCATGGGTGGCTATACACTGGTGCTTGAGCCAAACAAAAGAACTTGAGTTTGCTGACTTTTTAATTGCATGGGGTTCCAGGGCACCACGGCCATAATGTGCCTGTCATACAATTTTCCTCACTGAATATGCAAACTCATTTTTAAATGACCATTGTAGAGTTACAGACTTTCCAATCAATGCCATAGTTATTTATTTGTATGTGAAAAGTATGTAAGTGTATATGTGCGGGGTATGTATTAATGATATCTATTTCGGTAGATTAAAAAAAGGAAATAGAAAAGGAGAGAATTGTCTTTGTCTGATGACATACATTAATGATTAGAGAAGTATTATGTGACAAATATATTTTTATTTAGACTTTTCTATTGTTTCAAAAAATGGCAATGAATTTGAACTAAGTTTTTAGAGAACTGCTGAAGAATTGCAGTTATAACTCAAAAGAACACAGTTTGAAAAATAATGTTTTAGCTGAAGGCCTTAGTATCTTTTAAAATGCAAATACCTCTCCTTTTATCTGCAATCAGTCATTTATACATTAATGTGAATAAATTTATTAGACATCACTCTGAGGTTAATTCAGAAAAGGGGGAGGCGAAGATGAACTTAGCAGCTGAAAGATGTGGAAATGATTGAATATTAAGGTTAGAAGCTTTGAAGACAAACCTGGCCCTACTTTACAATTTTGCTTCAAGACTATGCCATCCATGTGTAGCACACTCATCTGTGTTTACAAACACAAACACATACGAAGAAAACATTTACTGAATTAGAAGAGTTTCAGTGTGAATATGCCTCAGAACTACCTCCAATTATTTTTGAAAATTTTTCAGGAATAATAATGTAATGAGATGAATTACTTATAATTTTATTCAACTCTGAATGAAGCCAACAATAAAATTTCAAGACAGTGAATTTTCTTGTGTATGCCAGAAATTATTTAATGTTATTTTACTTCACATTAACATGAGGGAATATATGATTAGGTTACATTGTTTATGTTTGTAAGGTAAAGTCTGAGTTGCAGCCAATGAATTTATTAATTAAAGGTATTCTGATACTCTGATTTTATTATATGAGTGTTCTCAAAGATTACAGGCAAATGAATTATGGAGCAAGAATGTCAGTTTCTGTACACAGCCTAATATAAATGAGGATTTACTGCTCCAAACCCAGTCTTGTACATTCGTTTGAATTAGAATAAAATTGTAGCTTGAATAAAAGGGAAAGATTTATACAATTGGAAGAGAAACCAGAGTATAAGAGTATAAACTTTAGAAATATTTAAGTCCTTTAATATTTTATCTCTATTAAGTGAATTTAGTTATATGATTTCCCCATTCTCACCCTCATGTCAGAAATTTTCTAAAGCTTATGAAAGCAAGCATCCATTCCAATAAAATTCAGTTAAATTTCAGTTAAAAATTCAGTTAAAACTTCTGAGAACTTTTTCGAGTTTTTAGTCAATATTTTAAAAAAGTGCTTCCTGAAAAAAGAAGAAAGTTGTGTACATACTACAAAATTATTCATTTCTTCACTATATATTTGCTAACAATGGAAGTTATTAATTTGATTATAGGTTTAAAATGTGTTGGACTAGAGCAGGGATTCTCAAACTGTGGGTCGTGACCCCTTTGTAACAATGAAAATGCATCCTGCATATAAGACATTTACATTATGATTCATAACAGTAGCAAAATTACAGTTATGAAGTAGCACTGAAAATAATTTTATGGTTGGGGATCACCACAACATGAGGCACTGTATTAAAAGGTTGCAGCATTAGGAAGGTTGAGAACCACTGGACTAGAGGTATATTTGCCATATTTCATTCTAAAGTTAATGCTTTTAACAATTCTGTATAAATTTGAGAATATGAAATATATTTAGAATTAAAATACTAATTGAGCTTCACAGTTAACACTATAGCTTTTTTCTATCAAGAAATTATGAACAAAACCAAATGATAGAAATCTTACCATTTAGGAAAGGAGCACATATAGATATTCTCAGTAGTAAATTCCATTTGGGGCTATTACATGTAATATTTAAGAATTAACAGTATAAATATGAAATCAAAATTTAGAAGCATTTTGAGATATTTTTGGCTATTGCAAAAATTTAAAAAGACTTGATAATGTTAAGGAAAAGATTAATAAATAAATAATAATTTATTTTTCCATATTCAACTCAAAGGTCATTCGTAGTATTGAGATTATACTTATCCTAAAATACAACTAAACCAAACTGTAAGCATAGTTAGTTAAGAAAGGGAATAAAGGCTCAGCGCCTGTAGCTCAGCTGGCTAGGGCACCAGCCACATACACTGGAGTTGGCAGAATCCAATTCAGCTTGGGCCTGCCAAACAACAATGACAACTACAAGCAAAAACCAGCTTTGACGGGCACCTGTAGTCCTAGCTACTCGGGAGGCTGAGGCAAGAGAATCACTTAAGTCCAAGAGTTGGAGGTTGCTGTGAGCTGTGATGCCACAGCACTCTACCAAGGGCAACAAAGTGAGACTCTGTCTAAAATAAAAAAAAAAAGAGCGAGAGAAAAGGAATAAAAAATTGAGATAATCAGTTATAAGCATGCTTGTGTTATTGTTCATATCATAACATCAAAAACTCCTGATTTTCAGTACTTTTTCCCCATCTGTGTACTGAGAAAAATGTATTATTCTGTGCGTTCCTCCTTCCTCCTTCCCTAGTATTTATGGGAACATGGTCCTAAAAGTTCCGCAGCAGGAAGCAAAAAGACAGAAAGGAAAGAGACTCAGTCGTGGATGCTGACAGTCCGTGACAATACTTGAGGCTGGTTTCTCTGTGCTTTATTAGGAACATGCATTTCTGGAAAATGTGCGAAGGCGGGTGAGTGAGCCCAGGCAAAGGGCACGTCTGCAGCAGTCCCATAGAGAGTGTGCAGACTTTTACCCAGGTGGAACTGGCCATGTACCTTGGAAACTTCCATCGGCTCAGTAGGTGGATGCGGTTGGTAGCTGAGCCACTGAGAATCAGTTCAGATAAACATATGGAATGTGTACATGCAAAGGACGTGCAACTTAAAGGGAGGAGTGATCAAACTGAAAAATTATCCTGGGAATTATTTTGTATCTATTGTATTGTGCATATACATAATAAAAGAATTTTCCCAAGGAGGGAAACAATGAGTATGTATATAGTACATGATAATATAGTCTTTAAAACTGAAAGAGTTGTTTTTTATATATATATATAATTTTGGTGTTAGTATGGTCCATAAACTAATCCTACTACTTAAACCTTTTTCACTACTTTTTTTTTTTACTGATTCACATTTAAGTACAAATATCGAGTTCAGTAATTTTAAGAAACTAAGAATTATGTTCATTTGCTGCGTGTTATTAATTCGGATAGCACACACCTCTCATTTTTACCATAGATTTCTCCTTCAAAATTAAAGGCTCTTCCATGTTTTCACATAGTTTTACCATGTTTTGAGTAGAAGTTAATTCATTTGTTGTAAACTCACATGTACTAAATTATACAATTTGTCAAGATGACTTACACATTCCCAGGGCATCGTACACCACCTGTTCTTGGCAGTCTGTAGTAAGTACTTCATTCAAGAGTGTACTAATACTTTCTCCTTTAATCTTTGTCACTTTCTTATTACCAAATTCCATATAACGGAAGATCTTGCCTGTTGTTGAAACTTGCATTAGGTATCTAAAGACACTGAAACCAAAAGCTATTCCCCACCACCACCAAGCCCGCCAGCTGCTTCACGTTTTCCTTCCTTTCCCGTTTTCCTTGGCTTCTTTTTCCTTTTCCTCCCTCCCTTCCTTCCTTCCTTCTTTCCTTTCCTTTTTTCTTTTTATCAGGCCCTTAATGGTGCAGTCTCTGCATATTTCGTCCTTGCTTCACTGAGCTGACATAGCACATTTTCTTGATTTCTCAATGCTATCAATGAGATTAAATTCTAGAAGGAAAATATTATAAAATAAGGTACGCAGATTATCGAGGCATGATCAGTTTACAACATTGCCACGTTGATGTCTTTGTTTGTAAAATCTACCTACAAGAATTAGGTATCACATCCCAATGTGAACTATATTCCAATAGTGTAGGAAATTTTGACATATAGTCATTCTATCCTATTTCGTTATTTCTTGGTTCTCTGTTACCCCAGGCCTCTTATGTGTTGTTATTAACTTTCTGGAAGTATAGCAGCAAATAATCAGAATGTATTGTGGAATATTTAAACATTTCGTTATACATGGTATATGATACTTAGAAAAATAGCCTATGTAAAATAGCTTCAATGAATGACAAGAATCTTACAACATGACCTTTAAAAGGCCTTAACTAAGCCCTTATTCTAGCAACTCAAATATTCAGTCCAAAATGATCATGTTCTAGATGAGTTTAATGTACAATATTTCCTATTTTATTATCCATTGAATAATCAACATGTATTTTATTTTTCTTTGGGAAGAGTTATATTTAAAAAAGGATAATAAAAGAGAACATAATCCATGAAACATATGTCTGATAACAAGAAAAATACAACTGAATAAATATATGCATGATTCTAGTGTGACAAAAACACTTTAATTTTAAGGTAGATTTTCAAAGCACATTAGCTAGTAGTTTAACAATTATTTGTGCAAAAACTTACCTTGACTTGCAAACTTCAACTCTTGGGCATCTGTGAGGGGTCGGCCTTACGAAAACACTTTAATTTTAAGGTAGATTTTAAAAACACATTAGTAGTTTAACAATTATTTGTGCAAAAACTTACCTTGACTTGCAAACTTCAACTCTTTGGCATCTGTGAGGGTCGGCCTTTTGTCAGACCCTTTTTTCTCTATTCTGCGATGGCTTCGTCTTTTCTTAGACTCTCCCCAAAGATTGGATCCTCCATGCATGCTTGGTATATTCAAAATAGCAATTCCTTCCAGAGAGATGTTTATTAAATCTATCTGTACTCCATCACACTGATAAGTAAAAAGAAAAGGGCAGAAACAATAAGATATATTACTTTCCTCATCTTAATTTCTTCTTTTTCATTTCCTTATCTCTTAATAAGTGCTTTTAAATCCACAGTCTTGTCATTTCTAAATAAGCCTTTCAGCAACACTTCCCTGCCTACCCTAAATGTCAATATGAAAGATAAAGCAGCCACAAACATTGGCCAGTTATCATTAATAGTCCTTAAAAGTCATCCAATTAAATCAACAGGGTATTTCTGGTTATTGAAAACCTCTGGGAGAGACACATGTTGCTGTTTGCAAATAAAACCAGCTGCAGATTTCCAATGTGCTACAAAAAGGTTCAATCTTGGACATAGGGTCAAATTTTAGGCAGAAGTTTTAATGGTTGCCAGCTATTTAGAACACACTCTAAGGCACTGTGGGGCGAAAGCAAAGACACAGAATTCATGATTCATGGTTTCACCTTTTTTGCCTGAGGAAGAAGCAGCTTTAAAGGTTTCTGCACAAAGAAAAGTACAAAACAGCAATTCAAAGACATTTCAATCACATGAGAGTGACCAAGAATAGTTCTCTGGATTAGATGACGTTCTAAGCAGGATATCAAAGGCTAGGCGAGGCACAGTTGTCCAACCGACAAGGGAAAACCGGGCAATTTCAGAGAAAGAATTGCAAAGAGTGGCAGTCAAAGGACTCTCCAGCCCAACATGGCTTTATAGCTGCTGTAACAATGCAATGAAAAAAAAGATCAATCAATCAGACTATTTTTGTTTGCCTGGTGACAAAACACCCAGGTCAGTATGGAAAATAAGGAACTTGCCAACAAACAATGTTTTGTTATATTCAGAGCAGTGATTTTTTAATTTTCTGTTCATTTCCACCAATGGGTATGTGTGGAGAGTGACAAGGATAATCCATATTCTCTGAATTTACCATTTATTTCTTCGCTTTCAGTTTTCTAAAATAATAGCTATTATAAATAGATTCCTGAATTTATTCTCCCAATTTGAATTATAAATTAATGCGAGAAGAGATCTAAACATAACCCTTTGATTTTTTTTTAAAAATTTTCTTGGGAATGTGCATGACAGTGAACAATATCTACAGTTTCATTTGCTACGTTTTATTACAGAAAACTCATCAATACCAACCTCATCATTTCTCATGGCAATCGTGATTTTTAGAAGATTCAATGCTCTGCTAAAATGAAAACCAAACCAAACAAACAAACCAAACCCTCTCTTGTCCCACACTCACCTCATCATACCAAATCTAAGATTGTGTCTTATTCACCAAAAAATAAAAACTGTGAAATAAAGAAACACATCTCGCGCCTACTTGGCGGGGGTAGAAACAAATTCTAGAGAAAGTGCCAAGTTTTCATGCAATTTGTTTCACAGAAAGTGAAAGGAAGGTCTGGATAATGCCTCTTTCTCTCTCTTTTTAATTTTCCCCCCCCTCTCTCTCCAGAAACAAGCGCTTTTTCCTCCTTCTCCTGAACTAAATTAAGATGATTTCTTTTTACTAAAGAATTCTGCTCATGTGTATACTCACTTACTGCTATATATTCTAGATAAACAGATATTAATTTCATAATTAAAAGTAATCTTGTGTAAATACCCTGCAGGCCTCAATGAATCAAACACATACTGTGTGTCAGGCCTCCCACTGTCTTCAAGTGGAATGTACTGGCTGGATAATTAGATAGTACATATTTTTTAACCTTATTTGCATGCATATTATATCTTTTGCACACTGACAAGCAGCAGTAACAACAAAAGTCAGATTACCACAGGGAATTCCCACAAAGAAGTCTTCATTCCTTATAATTTGCAGCCTAAATTAAAATAATTTGATCTTTGACAAGGATGAAATGTCAAGCAGAAGGGGGTCCTCTACAAGCCACGGCCTGTGGCTTCTGAAATCTGCCTAATTTATGTCAGTCACTTCTTAATACATATTTAAGTATTACACGAAAAAGATGATAAATATGCAATCTGACACCTTTGGTATTTCCCTGCTGTTAATTTATAAAGGTCTGGCTTCCCCCAAACTGACTAAAATCATTTAAATAACAGAAGAATCTTGAAATAAGCTGGAGTCAGGGCCTGGCTTCCATTTTCACTCAATATTGAACACAGCAGGTAGTACACTAAGACAATTATTTGACTAGGCCTTAGAACCCCACTGTGACAAGTTACTTGCAGAATTAGTGAGGGAGGATTCCTTTGTTCATCTGCAGAAAAGAAGAGCATGTTGCAAATAGGCTTTTTTTTTTTAATTGAACCAGCGAAGTTACATGTGACAACTGAGAAACATCGGTGTGTACTGTTATTCATGTTTTCACTCTTCAGAGTCTTGTCATGTGTAGTTTTAAGGAAACAGAGTTAAGTCCCTCTCTGAGAAGTGAAAAAAAAAAAAGATTTCTCAAGGAGTCTGAAAGATCAAGGACGGGTGAAGAAGGGACAATGTCCTTAAGTCAATTGCTATTTATTAGTGATTTGTTTCCACTAGTTCTTGACCCCAGGCTACCATCATCTGTTTGCTTGAACACCGTGTTCATTAGCCTGGAAAATTTCAGAGTTGGTTCTGATGGAGACCAGTAATTGTTGTACTCCAGTAGAGTGCACGAAAATCAAAGCTGCGATGGGGGCTATGAAATATAAACAAGTTACAATACTGTGGCACATAATATTTTCATACCCTCTGAAGATTTATGACCATTAAAAAGGTAGCTACTGAGGAAAAGAAAATAAAGGCTTAAAAGCTAACAGCCTTAGTTAGTCAATAAATCCTGGATATTTTCATTATGTAGAAAAAAGTCATTAACATATAGCACGATGGGAGCTACTTCTAGGGTGTAATTCTGAGATGCCCTTGTCCACTCTTTTCAGTTTTAAAATGGAAGATCTTATTCCAGGGACAACTTTATCCAAAAGAAAAAAATGTTTGAATATTTCCGCGCATGTGTTTTAAAATGTTCACAAATGAGCCCTGCATCATATTATAGAGTTATTCAAGACAAGCTTTTATCAGTAAATTCAGTGTCTCAGATCCCTTGAACAGGCCTTTTAATAGGGATATGTAAAACACAAGAAGAACTTTGGAGAGCTCTGTGTATAGTAAATTTGATAAGATGCAATTATTGATCAACTGGAATTTGTTTTCCATATGAGTCTGATTTTATGTCTGTGTTTTATGAAAATTATTCATAATTTTACTCAGTGAAACATAGGACATTACTTTTCAGCTCATTTTATTATTAGGACATGGTGTAGGAGCTATGCTTGAAAACTCTGCCTGTTTGCTTTAAGAACTCTGTTTTCCAGGTTATTGGGTAATAAAAAACTTGTCTTTCAAATCCAAATAGTTTGTGTTTCGGAAGCTGCTCATGCTCTTTGTTAATTCTTGGGATTACTGAAGTATGTAGAAGTACTTAATCATGTAGAAATTCTTGGATTTACAATTTACCATCCTTCCCAGGCTCACTGACAACTCAAACACTGAAATACCTGGAGAACAGGATTTCTTACTCTCTTATTAACTGGTACGTCTGGTACCAGTTGAGAAAAATTAAAAAATATGAACTTTATAGCTTCAATTATAAATGCTGACCTGATATTTCTTAGGCACGTATACCCACCCTCCTCCCCCAAATAATGTAATACCAACTTTGCTTTTAAAATATTTTTTCATAATTTTAAAATATTTCATTTTATTTTTTATTTATTTTTATCATGTAATAACATTAGAAAATAACTGAAGTTCTTCCACTAAAAATGTCTATTAATACTTTATGGAACATTCTACATTTGTGTACATATGTGTGTATGCATATATATATATATATATATCTCCAATCTATTTGTTTCCTTATTAAATTTAAATATTTTGGTGTCAACATTTCTCTAAATTATTAAAGAAAATGCCATCTCTTCAATAGATATATGACAGTATCTTTAATTCATAGGGGTTAGATGATGACTAAGTTAGATCATGTATGTGCATTTCATTTTTTTTTTTTTCCTGCAGTTTGTGGCTGAGACTAGGTTTGAACCCGGCACCTCTGGTATATGGGGCCAGCGCTCTACTCCTTTGAGCCACAGACACCGCCCACGTATGTGCATTTCTTAGCACCAATTATGAGGTTTAGTTAATAATAGATACATCATAGCCATTATTTTTATTAATTATTATTATTCCACGTTATCCACATCACCTTAAATATTTCCTCCCTTTGGAAGGAGTTCTTTATATGAAAAAAGAATGTAACATAAAGACGCACATAAGATGGTTTGTTTTTGAAAAAGCTGTGAATGAAATATATACCATTTATTGAGATTCTATTGTTATCAAAGTGGTTTATTCTATTATGTATTTTCAAACTGTAGTAGTTTTATAATTCTAGGCCAAATAGGAAGCAACAACAAGCAGAATCAAATTTTCGAATTACTGATTTTGTTATATTTAATTATGAAGCATCCTTGAGGGTAGAAAGGCATATTCTGCTAATATGATAGACTGGATTCATTAAAAAGTGAGGAGGGAGGCTGATTTTGCATGGCCATCCACACACAAACACACACATTCCAAGATATGTAACAATACGATGGGCAGTGCGCACAGTGCGGGCTGTGATTTATGAATGTACTGCAGTGGTTTTCATAATAAGCTGGTGACACAGAGCTAAAAAGCAATACTTGAAAACATGCCGAAACAAGACTCTAAGAAAAATATCTTAGTTCTAGTGGCCCAGACTTCTTGGAGCACATTCTAAACAGTTTTTAAAATAAGATTTAAGCTCTATAGAACAAAACCACTCAATTTTATCATTATTTAGAATTAAAAATCAATGGTTGACACACTTACTTTCACTCAAATGTCTTTTGCTATATAATACAAAATTTTTCTTTAATAGTTTTTACATTACAACACATACAATATTATTCTACAGATCAACAGGTTTGTAATCTGTGCTTAGGGCAAGGCAAGAGAGATAGATGTAGGAGAATTTAGGGTCTCCACTTACATTCAACCAAAGTCATACTTCTATATTTTTAATTTTTGGCTTTTGCTATAGATTTTCTTTGAACCTAGATTTCTGAGGGCAAGAAATCTCCAAATCCATCCTATAAAGCAGTATTTTAAAAGTAATAATTTTGAAAGTAAAAGGGGATTATGGCTTTTTAAATAAATATGTATAAACATATATAACAATATGTGACTATTACTCTATACTACCTATATATATATATGTCTATATGCATGTACGTAGTTATATATACTACATATAATTTTATATGTAGGTATATGTAAAGAGATATAATACATATATACATATGTATCATGAACAAGCACAGAGATTCTGCGCTACACCCAAATCCTCAACTTCTATGATCACATTTCTTTTGAAGATTTTGATCTGAACCAGTTATGAGGGGCTTTTGCTTATTCTATAGCCATTGATTCTGCTTCTAATATCTAATACTCTTTACCAATCATGATGACATAAAAGTACAAAAAATTACATAGAGTAGAATCATTTTTAGTATTACTATTAATAACATATAATCACAAAGTCAAGGTAATGAAGAATCCAGCCAGGTCATTATAATCTCATGTGGCCCATAACTACTTCTATTTACTGAATTTACTACCTGATTAGAGGCCCCTAATGACTTCAGTGTCAGTAGAGGACTTATGCATTTATTTATTTTTCTAATCTATGAACACAGGATATCTTTCTATTTATTTGTGTCTTTACTTTCCTTCCTCAATATTTTAGTTTTCAACATTTACAACAACAAGGATGAACCTGGAGGACTTTTTGCTAATGAAATAAACCATATATAGCAAGGGAAATAATACATAATCACATTTATATAAAGGAATCTAAAATAGTCAAACTCAGAGAAGGAGAGAATAGAATGGGGGTTTCCAAGAATTGCGGAGAGGGGAAAATAGAGAGGTATTAGTCAAAGAGTACGAAGTTTCATTTATGCAAAACAGATAAGTCCTAGAGATCTACTGTATGGCACAGTACCTATACTTAACAATAATGTTCTGTTTACTTAAAAATTGATTTAGAGAGTAGATCATATGTTAAGTAGTCCTCCCTCAAAATAAAGAGGAAGGACTATTTATTTTTTAAATAAAGTTTTAAATCCAATTTTTCTCAGTTCATATCAGCTAGTCATTAAGTGTTCATCTTTTACATTTCTGTTCTTTTGGTTTTGTCTTTACCATGTGTCAAAATATAACTTTTGCTCTTTATTTAACCCCTAAAATCTCTTGATAAAACTTATTTTATTTTGTCTCCAAAATTTTGAGTCCTACAGTGTCTATATTTTTTTGGTAGACCTATTTGCTCCAAGTCTTTTTAAAGTGTGTCTTTTCTTGCTATCTTTGCTCTATTTCTTGGCATTTCCACTTTCTATAAATGTAATGGGGAAATCGCAACCTTGGGAACTGACAAAACCTAGTTAATGAATGGGAATGGAATGGAAAAGTATACTTTTTAACCTTTATTCATAAAAGCAAGTGCAATTTTAGTGAACTGTGTTTTAAAGGTTATAAGATATTGAGACCTGAAAATAATAAGTTTTTTAAATGTATCTTACAACTTTTTTCGTTTTCTTCAACTCCTTTTATCTTACATTTTTCTATCCACATTATGTCCAGTAACTTTTTCACTGATTTCTGAAGTTGTGTTCCATTTCTCATTCTTCTATATTAAAACAACTCATGCCCACACTTAACGTTAGACTAGTGCTTCACACAGCACTGCGTTCCCACCAAGTGAAAGAAATGGCAATTCAGAATCTTGACTAAATCTGTGTGGATTGCATAAAATACATATTTCATTCCATAGACTATAACACAAGCATATTAACGACCACGCTAAAGCCATTTCATGGCATTATAAAAGAGAATTCATTTTTCTTACTTCTATTTCTACAGATTCATGTAGCTTCTTGCAGGTGGCTGAGAAAGTTTCAGATGTGCCAAACTCAAAATACCAAAATTTGTTCTTCATTCTGAAAAAGGAAAGGAAGAAGCAACTTAGGCAATTATCGACAACAGAAAGGATATTTTTAAAAAATGGTCTAACTCTGCCTTGTGTTATAACTAATATAAAAGGATTGTGGATATATTATGTCGAAAATGTAATAAATGATCACATAGTTTTCAAAACTTAAATGTTGCTGTCAAATTCTATGATAGCCCTACGGGGATTCTAAAAATTTTGTTTATCTGACAGACTCAATCTTTTAATTTTCTTTCTTCCTTTTTTTTTTTTTTTTTTTTTTTTGAGACAGAGCCTCAAGCTATCCCCCTGGGTAGAGTGCCATGACTTCACAGCTCACAGCAACCTCCAACTCCTGGGCTCAAGCGAGTCTCCTGCCTCAGCCTCCCAAGTAGCTGGGACTACAGGCGCCCGCCACAACGCCTGGCTATTTTTTGGTTGCAGCCATCATTGTTGTTTGGCGGGTTCAGGCTGGATTCGAACCTGCCACCTTAGGTGTATGTGGCTGGCGCCTTAGCCACTTGAGCCACAGGCACCGAGCCAATCTTTTAGTTTTCTATTGGTTCATCAGACTTTTAAAAACAGTTTTAAGGCTTAAAATTCTTAGGTTGTCCTTAGGCGATTTTATTTTAGTATTAACCATTTTATAATCAAAAAGAAAGAAAGAAATTGAAATTGTTCGTGGCAAAAAGAAAGCTTATAAATATGCTAATGTTTTTTTCTAACTGTCTAAGTATTCATTGGCATGATTGGATATCCATTCATTGGATATTTGCATGATTGGATAACATTCTTAAAAAATAGTGGTTGTCTAGTAAGCTAAAATTTAGTAAATTTTGGATAACTATTTATTTGTAAAGATATTGTCTTTAACTTTTGAAGGAACTTCGTTTAAGACCTAAGGAAATAATAATACAGCATGAAAGAACTAATAAAATAATAATACATCAGCATAACAAAAGTTGCAAAGAAATATAATGAAATTTATTTCAGTATTTAAAGTAAAATTTTCAAAGTTTATTTTCTCCTTGACCCGATGACGTTATTTTTGGCTTGTTGTACCAGGTAATTAAATTTACGATCACTTAATGTAATTTTACAAAGGTTGACTATATTTTTATATTATCCAGTATTGGATTTGAAAATTCATTCTTAAGAAAAAAGTAAGTTTTAATTATACATAATTTTAATAAGATATGGCCTCAATTAGAACAAAATACAAAGCAGGGCATGATGGTTCACTCCTATAATCTCAATGCTTGGGAAGCTGGGTCCAGAGAATCACTTTAAGCTAGTAAGTAGAGACCAGCATGAGCAAGAATCAAGACCAAGTGTCTGCAAACAAACAAACAAACAAAACACAAGCAAACAAACAAAAAGATGTAAAACAAAGACCTAACTAGGAGAGGAGTGCCTCTAGTCCCAGATATTTAAGAGGCTGAGGCATAAGGATCTTGTGAGCCTAAGAGTTGGAGGATGTGATGAGCTATGATGATGCCACTATTCTCTAGGCTGGTCAACAAAGAGACATCTTATCTCTCTCTCTCACACACACACACATACACACCTACACACATGAGAGATAGAAAAAGAAAATACAAATAGGTAAAATGATAGATATTAACACATTGAGACAAAATTGAATTTTTGCTATTTGCACATATCCCACATCAAATCACAGCATCCTGTTTGATTTAAATAAATATTAATATCTGTCTCTTACATTAACATCTGAAATATTTATAGAAGTTAGGACATTTGGCAAGCCAGGTGCAGGGGTGCATGCCTGCAGTCTCAGCTACTCTGGAGGCTGAAGCAGAATTGTGTGAGCTCATGAGTCTGGGGTCAGCCTGACAACTTAGTGGGGCCCCATCTCTAAAACGAACAAACAAACAACAATAATAAAAAAAAGACCCTGAAAAAAGACATTTGGCATAATCCTTACTACATAATTAAACACTTTTATTTGTTTGGAAAATGATATGGAACCTAATACAATGCTTATTATTATGCTATGTTGAATACAATTCTCTGATATGAAATTACTAAATATAAAAGTAATATTACTGTATTCACCTAGATATATTCAGTAATTTTTAGGCTTACTCAAAGTTTTATTGGCTAATAATTTTGTGAATCCTATTCAGGCTAGTAATTTGAAGGCCAAAATCGGTTCCATAAGACTCTAGCACCATAAAGCCTAGGGAAATTTTCCTTAGTTTATAGCCTGATCTCATGTGTGTGAGTTGATATAAATAAATAATAGCTAATTAGAGCAGAGGTAAACATTTAAAGTCAAGATCTGTGAGCCTCTATCTATACACAAGTCTATTTCAAACTAATACAAATATCTACTTCATAGAATATCTATGCTTTTATAAATTTACACACTGAAGTAAAATTAAAAATATTTTATTATTAATTCAAATTCTGCTGAAAAATACCTTATTCAACAGATTATGAGGAAAATACTTGCCTGTATAATGTGGTCTCACGATTTTCTATTGTTTGTGAATTATTTATCTATATTCAGCCTGTTTTCTAATAACATTTTGCATTGGTCTTTTCTCCAGACCTTTCTGGATTCATTCATTCATTCATTCATTCAACAATAGTTTAATAGGAACAATCACTTCCTTATGCTACTGTGTTAAGTTAAAGGTACTAATACAAATTTGATTACCTTTGTCCCTAAGGAGCTCAGAATGTTGTAAGATTATGTGTATAAAAAATAATAATAAAGTTAATTTTCTAAATCAAATATGATGAACGTATTATGGGAATATACTTCAGTGATTCAACTAATTCTGCCACAAGGAGTCTAGAAAGCTTTAGAAGAGAAGGTGAAAGGCTGGGCACAGTTGCTCAGGCCTGTAATCTTAGCACTTTGGGAGGCCACGGCAGGTGAGTCACCTGAGTTCACCAATTAGAGACCAGCCTAAGCAAGACCAAGACCCCGTCTCTAAAAACAGCCAGGTGTTGTGGTGGGCGCCTATAGTTCCAGCTACTCAGGAGGCTGTGGCAAGAGAATCACTTGAGCCCAAGGGTTTGAGGTTGCTGTGAGCTTTGATGCCACAGCATTCTACCAAGGGTGATAAAGCAAGACTGTCTCTGTTTTCTCATGGTTTAATCATTCTGCGTTTTTTCAGGAAAAAAAAAAAAAAGGTCTGTTTCTTATTATAAATGTAGGTGGAGAAAGCACTCCCAACACTGGCTCAATACCGCTCAGCATATTAGCTATTTTTCCATAGCAAATGGCTTCCACTGCATTATCAGATGCCTGACATCCTCTTGTTTTGCGATCTCAGCAACTTCGTGTCATCCTTACTTGCTTCTTCTGCTTCATCGGTTGCTTCATGCACTTTTACCCTTCTCTGTACTTCAGTCAATATCACTTGGAAAATTGCTTCTGGGTCTAGTCCATTACAGGTTGCCACCTCATCATCCATTGCAATAAAACCTTCAAAATCTACTTTGCATTTTGCCATAGATGGACTGTCTGATGTGGCCAAAGCATTGTACTCTTTGGGTATGACAAATCCAACATTCTTAAAACACTTCTGTATCATTTCTGGCTAAACTTTATTCCACGCCAAACTGATCCACAGGACAGCCAATGGAGCAGATGAAGTTGCTTCATCTGGGTAGACTCAGGGTTATGTTTTATTAATGATCCACCATAGGAGCTGGACTTCATAGTGATTTTGAATATTCTGCTGATGCCTTGGTCAAGAAGTTAGATTTTGAAGGTTGTGTTTGGAAGCAGAGATTTCAGTGTCACATTTGCATGATGATTCACTTGCAGATGGCCAGGACAGTTGTCTACCTTCAGTAGAAAAGACCTTTCATTTTTCTTCATTTCTCAGTTAATTCCCTGCACCCACGCCTCAATTAGAGCACCAGTTATCCATGTACATTTGTTTGATCTCCAAGTGACATAGAGTTCTCCAAGCTTCTGGTTCTTGAGTGCACATGGTTTTCCCTAGTCATCAATCACTAAGGACTTCGGTTTCTCTCCAACTGAGTGCAAAGCAGGACTGTGAAATGTTCTTTGGTAAGTTTCTCCCTCTTACATTTGTCACACTTTGTGGTGAAGCTGCCTTGAAAGAGTCTGCAGTCCTCAGCATTAAAGATGTCACCATCTTTAAAGCCTCTGGAGAAGTCTGGGAACTTTTGATGAACTCTTCCACAACTTCTACTAGAACTTCTTTAGATTTACCACACAAGACATTCTGGGAGATCTTGTGATGCAGTTTAAACTTCTCAAGCCTACCACTTTACAGTTAGAAATCTGCCACACTGAATACCTATGCACTTTTTTTTTTTCTTGCCAGGGCCGAGATTGAACCCACCACCTCAGGTATATGGGGCCATCATCCTACTCCTTTGAGGCATAGGCACCACCCTCCTGTTCACATTTTTTAGCAACTTCTTGGATCATCCGACCAGAGATTTGGGCATTAACTGCCTTCACGTATTTGACCAGCTTCATGTTGCTTCATTGACATAATCAAGGGAAGTTTTCCTCCCCTTCTGTTCTCTGCTTTCCTTATCATATCTCTCCAAGCACATTTTTGGATGTTGCTAGTTATGGTTTTCTAACACCAAAATATTACATTGTCTTTCTTTTGCTGTTGCCTTCCAGTAAATGTGGAAGATAAACCTTTTCTATTAATGTCAGGTCTCTAAATTCTTTCCTTGGGGTCATGATGTCTAGATTAACTGCAAAACTTTTCAGTAATTGTAGGATGTACCTACAATTCAGATCAGTCCTTCACATTGAAAAATCCTTCCACAACATGTGATAAACAGTGGAATGTTAGGCCTAATCCGATATTTTAAATGTTTTGCTGATGCCTTGGTCAAGAAGTTGGATTTTCAATGTTGTGTTTGGAAGCAGAAATTTCAACGTCCAATATGGTAGTAATAAAACATTAAATAAAGAACTTATATTAAAGAAATAATAATATAACTAAGAGTCAAAGCCCATACCTTCTACTCCTTCGTGTA